GGAAGAGTGTTCCAAAGGGCAGGGGCTGCTGCAGAGAAGGCTTGCCTCCTGGACCCCGTCAGATGAAATTCTCTTACAGACGGGGTCCGTAGCATGCCATCTCTGCATGACCAAGTGGGACAAGTTGATGTAACAGGGATGGTCCTTCAGGTTCTTCCCTATCCTATATTCTGCCCTACATTTTTGCTACCCATATGCAGAACTTTATGTTTCTACCTGTTAAATTCCATCCTATTAATTTCCACCTGTCCTCCGGCCTATCTAGATCTTTTTGAATCTTTTCGTTTTTTAGCTACTGTCCTAGCTTTGTGTCATCTGCAAACATTATCAGTGTCCCCATCACTTCTTCGTCCAAGCCATTGATAAAAATGTTGAATACTGCAGGCCCCAGGACAAAGTCCTTTGACAGTCCACTCAAGCCTGAAGTAACACTATTAATAAGAACTCCTTAAGTCCAATCATTCAGTCAACTGTGAGTTCATCTAACAGTAGTATTGTCTGCTCCATATTTGACCTGCTGATGACAAACTGCTGAAGGCTTTACTAAGCTCCAGGTATACTATGTCTATGGCATTCCTGTGACCTATTAAACTAGAAACTCTGTTGAAGGGGGTAAGGTTAGTCAGACACTGTGATAAACAGTGTTGACTCCTGTTAAATTGCAGCATGCCAATTCAAGTGCTCACAAAGATGCTGCTTGATAATGTGTTCAAGGACCTTGCTCAGTATAGACACGAAGTTCTCAAAGTTCAAAGAAAACAGTTCTGTGATCACTTCTGTGAATTCTTTGAGTACCCTGGGATATAATCCTTCTGGCTCTGGAGACAAATTCATTTACATTAGCTAGTTCTCTATTATTCCCTCCTTCTCTGTTCTAAGCTGTAGTTCCCTTGTTCCTGCAGTGGCATAACAATTGCCACCTAGAGCACCATTTTCCTTCTCAAAGAAGGCAGATGTAAAATAGAGGTTAGGAAGTCCTGCTTCTCACCATCAGCCTTATCACCACTTTCTCTTAGCAATGGACCTACACTTTCTAACATAATCAAAGAATGCTCTGGTTTGTTATTTTTTGGTATCTCTTGCAAGCCTCAGCTCATTCTGGCTGTTACCTTTTGTGACAGAATTCCTACAGTTTCTGGATACCACCTTCTATTTATCTTTGTTGCTCTTCTTCCATTTCCTATACATGTACTTCCAGTGCTATATGCCAATCATGAGTATTATTCCAATGTGCTTCAGTGATGCTTGTATCATTGAATTTGTCTTCCTGAAGGAGGATCTCTGATTTTCACTGCTTATTTCCCATATTCTTTTCATTGATGCTGAAATATCTGGGGTTTTGAGTACCGTCTGCTGGTATCTCTGTAATCATGTCCTGAGAAACTCTGTGGCTTCATCCCAGTATTCTGCTTTTCACGTTGTGTTCTGCTTTCTTGGCCCTATCCTTGGAGAGGTATTCAACTCTAGGCCTTTGCCACCCCCACCCCACTTTTGTTCTTGTTTAATGCCTTCCTGGTTAGATTGTTCAAAGCACCTACTGAACATTTCCCAGTTTTTGTGAGTTGTCCATTAAATTCCAGGAGCCCTTCCTGAAGGTTGCATAGGCCTCTGTCATAGAATCCAACCCTTCTGTTTGTGTAACTATTTGCTGACTTCCAGAATCCTATTTTCTCTTTTTGCACCATGACCTTCAATGGATAAATGAAACTAATTGATGAAAATGAAACTGATTGATTAAAATGCTACCTATACTCCAACTTCCTTGACCTTACTTTCCAAGGCCTCATAGTCTCCAAACATTCTTTTAAGATCTCTTCTAGCTATGTCATTCATCCTGAATCAAGAGAAAAGAATAATTATTGGTAGGTTTAAATAGTCTTGGTAACTTCTTCATTGCATCCTGTATATGGGCACATGGGAGACAATACAAAATATTATTCAATTAATTTATAGATTTATATGGCCGCCTATCTCACCATAGCAACTCTGGGTAACTATTTTGTGTCTGGACACAGCTGTCTCAGCTCCCCCTAGCAGAGAATCAATCACCACCACAAAACACCTCTTTTTTTTAGGTTAGCTCTTTGGTTTCTTTAATTCATAGGGGCTCAGATGTCCTCTACAATATTCTGTGGTGTAATTTGCTGTGGCGTAGTTTGTCCATTGTACTCCAGAGAGAGAGCCTAGTTACTGTTCCGAGTTCCACTGGCGTGAAGTGTCTCCTGATTTTCTTGCTCCCTTGTCAGGATGAGTAAAGGGTCCTAAGGCTAAAAATCCAAAAGAAATGACACATACACAAAAGGAATAGATAGGAAGGAGGAAGAACAGTGCAGGCATTTGGTAGTTACTGACTTATTAGCTTCCAATAATGGAAACATCTTCCGAAAGGTATCTGCTGAGCTGATACTGACCTTATATGATGAGGTCTCAGTTTTCTAAACTTGACTAGAAGACAAGTAAGTTACTTGCCACTTACTTTCTGTGGCAAGTAAGATTCAGATGGAGGTCTATATGCTATCACCATTTCATGAGTAGAGGAATCTAATGTATAGGCTCCTCACAAAAACAGGTCTCAGTAGACTTCTAAGAAATAGCTTGAAACACCAGACTTTCTAGAAGTCATAGGCATTCACAGAGGAAAGGGAAGCAGAGAAATGACAACATATGCTTGATGATGTCATCAGATAAACACTGCAATTTACATACTTCTATCAGACATTTTGGACAAGTACATAATCATGGCATTTTCCAGTTAACATGCATGTGTCATCATTTTGACATCATTGTAGTTTGTTACATGTACCACTGCTGAGAATGATTGTATACAGTTGGAAGTGGGCCATCCCCTTCTGGATTTTTGCTGGATTTTGCTGATGGCTTGTCATTTTTGCTGTAGCAGGAAAGGCACCAGTGTAACCAACATTTCCAGATCAAACAATCCTGAGGTTTTTTTCCTCATAAGACAGTTTTTCTCTATGGTCCCCATGATGGGTATGGGTAGGCCTAGTCCAGCTGATGAAAGCAGTAGCAAATGAGGGATAGTGAAGTTGGTGGATAATCTTGTTGCCTACTGTTATTCCTCCTCCACATAGACCTGTTTGTTCAGCTGCAG